GAAGAGCAAATTTATGCCGAACTGTCCTGTTGAGGTATGTTTTGACCTTTAATGTTTGTTTTGGGTTATTGCATGCTATGAGCCGAAATTTTATGAAACCCTATGTTGTCAACGAGTTTCAGGTTGTCTATACAAGGCGGCGAGCTCGAGGCGAGCATATAGAAACTCCTAGTAAGGCTGCATCGTCAAATCAGGTGAAATAATCTCGTGGTAAACTAAGAAAAATATTCTTCTATAGGTTTCATATGATTTTTAATTTAACACTGATGCATTTAAGAATTTTGGCATATTGTAGATGAATCTCTGCAATTAATTTATGAATGTAAATTGACTTTTATTTACTACATGTGATTTTATGCTATTTTATGATCCAGATGATTGTGCATATGACCCTGATTGCTTGCAGATATTCATTCCATTATGATTCATGCTTACGAGATATGGAATACCTGATTACATAATGTTTTATGAAATGCTTAATGAATGTTGCTATAGAAATATCATAATAAATGTTAAGGAATAGATTATTACATGAATGCTTGTAAGTGCATTATGCAGGGATATATTTCCGACTCTTAATATTTATATGGGTATGAAACTCTAGAACCGTTGGAATTAAACTGTGATAAAATATTAGGGAACCGTGGGTATCAGGTGGGTTGTTGATAACTATTATGTTGAGGAAATCTCAATCTTAATCAATAGTTTATATAGTTTTCGGGGCAAATTGACAACCCATGATGAAATAACATGAAAATAGTTGAACTCTATACATTAAACAAGTGATATTCTTATGATATGACTTATATGAAATGAATGAGCATGTTTATACTTATAATTTAATGCTTGCAATCTGCATGTTCTACTACAGTTGGTTTTTATACCACCTGTATTTGCTCTCTTTTCATATTTTTTAGTATGCTAACATATTATGATTCTATATAGATATAAACAGTTTCATACGAGCATGCATGTTGCTTTCTTTCCATATTTAAAATCTTATTTTAGCCTTTATTATTCCTATGAGCTTGTTGTTTTCTCATTTTTCGTTGCTGTCTTTCAAGTAGAGCCAACAAGCACCGAGTCGAATAATCAGGTGTGTCTTTGTACAGATTTTACATGTTAGCTTTGGGAGCTTTATACATAAGCTTTGGGTAATTATTTTTATTGTTATGGATTAGTAACTCTGTATAGTTTTCATGTTTTGGATAATTTAATTTTTATGCTTCTGAATATGTAATTGAAATGCAATGTATCATATATGTTACAGTGATCCAACTAGATTAATTCATCACCCACTGAGTCATGATTATAAAAGTCAGGACGAGTGTTGGTGAGAGTTAGTCTGACCAAATTCTCAATCTCAATCGCACCTCAGTCGACCTCTAAAAAGGGGGCATGTTGGGGTGTGATGGGCTACATGAATCATTTTTCTCCAATGCATCCTATTGCCTGTCAAATTTTCATTTAATTCTGATAAAAAATTGTTGGTGCAAACTAAATGTTTTTATGTGGTTAGGAATTTTTATAAAATTTTTGAGATTTAATGGTTATTTACTATTTGGATGCTTGTTATAAATTTTTGTAAATATTAGAATGATATAATTATATCTTCTAATCATTTGTTGTCGCCTCCAAAATTCTAAACTCACAGGTTGGGTCAAGGCAAAAAGTTATCTTCAACATTTGCAACACACTTGGAAATTTCACATCCAACAAAATTTACAAGAGTTTGAAAGAAAATAAAAATTATATTCAACAATTCATTCTAAAATATATGTCAAATGGGTTTATTCAAAGATGACTTTTAAAACAAGAGCAATGCGCTTCAACAAAGGCGCATACCTCCATAAGGGACACAACCTTGGCCTCATCCCTAATTAAGGGGTTTCTTAATGAAAATGTTTTGCTAAGATATGAAGATGAAATTAATGTTGCACGTATAGAAAGGAAAATTAGGACAAAACATACCATGAATAGAAATTAAGGAATAAAATTTACATAAGACAGGTTCAACATATGGGGCAAAACTAAACAGAAACAAATTGAGAATGAAAAATCATAGTCAACTTGAATTACTTAGAATGAGGCTAATGATGATGATAATGAAGTTTTTGGGATACCTAAAAATGGTTCTTTTGGATGAAATAATATCTCCTTTGATGATCATAATTAGGGCCTACGTGAAGGTGTATTAATATAACCAAAGTCGAAACGCAAAAAGAAAAACACAAAATTTCATAATTTGCAACTTCTCAACAATAATTTTAGGCAAAGATTGGTCTCTTTTGATGCAAAATAAGAAAGAATGTACAATAAGTTCCAAATGATAATAAAAAATTTTCCAAAAGCTAAAATTCGACAATAACACTGAATACAAGAATAAAAACTCTATAATAATTATTATTCTCATCAAATGAGGGAAGCGTGTATGCAACAAATTTCACCAATTTTTAATCACAAAATAGTAAAATAAAAAAATAAATATAAAAGTCGCCAAAAACCCAAGCCTCACATTGATACATGAAGATTTTTTTTTTTTCCTCAAAAGTAGTTATCAAGACTTACAATGCACTCACAAAATCCACATCCGACAGCACGTATACATGTTTGAAAGCAAACAACATTTGTAATTTGTAATTCATTTTAGCATACATGCTTATGAGACTACTTACAGCTAAAAAACGATATATAATTAGTATTTTCTTAAAATTCTATAAGATACAGGCTAAAGTTTCAATTTTAGAATATACTGATTCCATCCCGACAACAATTTTAAATCCCAAAAAACCATCAGCTCCTAAGGAAAGCCAATACAGTATAAATAGAACACAACTAAACAAGGAAATACAGACATCCCTAATTCCTACTGCAATAAGAATAATGTAAACGAATCACTAATTACAGCTCAACTATATAGGAAAAACTAACAAGGCACTAAATGCACACTTTGTATGTGACAAAACACAACCAATCCTCTTAACAATTCACAGCAGCCGATGCCCCATGCTACAATACAAAGAGCCGCGACTTAGCAAGGATCGATCATAAGCTACAGAGCAAAATCAGGACGGGGAAAAATAAGGCTAGAACAATAAACGGAACTATAAATCTCCACATGATAAGCTAAGTAAAAACAAGGATCCGACAACATCATAGCAAACAGAACTAATAGCAACAGTGATCTTCAAATTTTGCAGTTGAGTGGTGATTGAGAAGAAAATAGGGGGACCAAACATGGGCTGAAATAGGAAATTGAAAATAACTAAAAAGATTTCAAGAGAAATCAAGTCAACTAGCAGATGTGAACCAAGCCTACTAAAGTAATCAAAACACCATATAACATATCATATTCTAATAAAGACCAACATCATAAACATTTCCATCAAAATAAGACAACTGGAAATCAAGCAACTAAGAAATTTCAGTGCACATTATTTCCACGTACAGTAATGTATAGTTCAAATTTGGATCATAAAAGCTATTGAAAATGATAACCACAGTAAAACGACTACTGAAACCTATAATGCATATATACAGAATGGTTAGATTGTTAAAGTCTAATATCAACCCTAGCCACCCACGTGTGACGTAGCTTGTTATCCCTTGCATGATGATATCCATGGAGGTTTTTATTGAAAGAAGAGGGATGAAAGAGATCCCAACCAAACCACATAAAAGAAAATGTGAACTATCTTATATAATTTCGAAAATAGGAATAAATACTACAAAAAATAGGAAAACATTTGTCTAGTAACCAAGAACGCTTGTCAGAGAACCAAGAAGCTATGATTGACCAGTTCAACTTCACATTGATGTAAGAAGTGGGGTAGTTTTGATTGATTCTAACTTAAAACTCATTTCAAAGCGGGCCTAACCTATGTAATAGAATATGCATGCACCCAGGACTTCCGAAGGTGAAGCTAAGCAGCAATTTAAGCTACGAAAATTATTCAATGAAAATCTTCCATGGCGGCAACCAAAAAAAAAAAGGTTCAGCTTGAATTTTCCATAATGAATTTTCCATAATATTAGTCAGCAGGTGAAAATTTTCTAGGTAACTGAAATTTTCTAAAGCCCTTTGAAGTATGCAATCGTCATCGCAGAGACAAGACAAAGAAATGAGTCGCAATAAAACTATAAAAATTATCTACTACAAAATTACCCCACGGCGGTCGCTCAACCGAGAAATTTAAGAATAGTTTTCAAAACTTTCAATCTATAATTCCCATTTGTCGAAACGTATTATATCCCTTGAGGCTAGAAAACAATTACATCTCAATAACTTCTCCAGTTAGTTTAGCATTGCGCTTTTGTATCACAAAGATCTCACCATTCAAAATTATCAAATTCATCATGTATCATGTGGAACCAACAACTAATCCCTAACTGCATAAATCTATCAATATGATGTTTGAAAAGTTGAATGGGCACGCAATAACACGACAAGGAATCTAAAAGGAATCCCAGAAATGCCACAGTTAAAAGTTCACTCATAAACCGAAATCACGACAAACAGTTTAGAAACATTGGAAGTAGCAAAGAGTTTGAAAATGCTGAGATTATCATCCCAAGGCCTTGGCAGTCATGCTCCAGATCCAGTGAGGTAATGCCATCGCTGAATCAAAAATGCCCAATCCCGCAGAATGGCGATAATGTAGCTCACCCCAAATGGATTCACGTCCTCCTCGTCAAACGGATTGCTATCGTATCGACCCGCCATGCGCGATAGGGAGAAGAAAAGGAGAGCAAGGATTCAAAAAGAGGAATCACTTCGCTAGAGAGAACGGAGTGGTGGTCGGTCGAGGGCGGTTCTGCTCGGACAGTGATACCTGATAACACTACATAAAATATAGACGAAATCATGAAAGTATAAATGCACTCAAATAACTGAGAAAAATATTTCGCAGCTGCGCGCTTCGTCCATCCCCCACGTGAGATTCGAACCGTCGCTCCGTGCCGGACAGAAATTGCTTCGAAATATTATAAATCATTAAATAAAATAAAAAATGAAAGTTTATATATACAAAGCACCTAATCGGCTAATCCATAAGCACATTTAAATTTTGGCGTGGCATATATAAATGCACAAAAATTGGATGCTATTTATGTATATTTCTCAAATAAAAAATGTTTGGGATTCTAATGTTCATCCTACAAAATATAAAAAAAAAATTTTAATTGTTAGAATTTTTTTTATAAAATAGGCTAAATAATTAGGGGCACTTGGGCTTTCTTTGAAGGAGCATCTTTTTTAAAAGATACTTCCGCCAAACGGTGGAGGTCACACTTCCGCTAAACGGTGGAGGTCAGCTCTGATCTAAAATGGTGAAACTTGATATTTTTGCAATACACATGTCTGAGACATTCGAAAATTGCTTCTTTATCAATTGAAATTTTTTCTATATGTCGACATTCGCCGCAACGAATGGAACTTCATTGTCTTGCCTTCTCAAACGAAGCATTAAATACATATCATCAAATACTTATGTATTTATATATTATTGTATCCAAGTTTGTCCTGATAGGTATGTCAAATGATTGAAGCGGTACAGACCTTGTGTGAGAATAATAAAGAGAGAGAGAAGAGAAAAGAAATAAAATATCATTCGTACGCTTGCGCTGTTTGGGCAAATTGGGGTATTATCGGGCTCTTTAACCCCTTTTATATGTTAAAAATAATTGTTACATTGAGAAAAAGAGATAGTTCTCTCTATATAAAAAAAATTCAAGAGAGTGGAGCCCTAATTTTTACATGTTATGGGCTTTCTATTTATAAGAGAAAGATGAATCAAGTTTAAAATTACATGTTTGCCTTGAGAAAAAGAGATAGTTCTCTCTATTAAAAAAAAGTCAAGAGAGTGGAGCCCTAATTTTACATGTTATGGGCTTTCTATTTATAAAAGAAAGATGAATCAAGTTTAAAATTACATGTTTGCCCTGACTTTTATGGGAGAATTACAGCTTATTATTATTTTTATTAATGCCCAACTTTAACAGGGGAGTTACAAGTCTTTATGGTGTATTTTTATAATTCGTGCTTTAATAAGGGAGTTAGAGGTCTTTTTATGATGTTTTTTATTGTATATGTTTTATCAAGGGAGTTATATGTCTTTATGGTGTATTTTTATACTCATAACTAATTTTTAGCACATGACAAAAATCATAAGAGCTCAAAAATAATGAAGGACCCAACCTTCACAGCTCGATATGAAATAAACTGAAAATTTTAAATTCAAGATGACTCAATCAACAGTAGAATTGTGTTTGGATTTAAATATTAGATCTAATTGTGATTTAGGTCGAAAAAGAGTTAATATAAATAACTCAAAATCAACTCGACACTGGTTTGAACTCATAGTTTGCAAGTTTGTGTCAAATTAATTGAGTCGAATAAGTTATACTTTGTCAAATTTATTTTTAATAAAAACATGATCTAAGAATTGAGTCAAATTTTAGGTCAAATATTTTAATAAATTTAAGGCAAATGTATTCAAATTGATTGAGTTAAAATCATTTTTTTTTTGTCAAATTTAAGCCGAAACAAACTCAAATTAAGTCAAAACCAAAATCAACCCTTCAACTTATGTTAAAAATATTAGGGGGTATTTGGTAGCTGAATTTAAGGCGGATTTTGATCTAAATTTAATGTAGTTTAAATCGGATAACTTCTCCGACCCAACATAAATCCCAAATTTATTGAATCAATTCAGAGATGGATTTAAAAACTCGTTTCCCATGAGTCATAGAGTAGAAGAGAAGATAGAAGGATACGGTTGCCTAGCAGCTCGCAACATGTCACCTCGCTTATCGATGCAGGTTGAAACCTCTCCTACATCACTCCCACTCTCCCGGTACCTTTCCTCTTTCTAGTCTCTGCCCGAACCCTCGCGATACAGTCGTGATTAGAGCTTAGCTGGAGAGGCAACAATGGGATCGCGATACAATATTGAATAATGAATATTTGAATTAATAAAATAGTTGTCTTGCTGAAAGTTATATGAAAATCTTAATTAATCATCTGGTTCTTTGGCTGTGAAAATAAACTATGCATTTATGGATGACTTAGTTATGTCATCTTCCTTTGTTGCGCCTTGCTTCAAACTCAGAGATTTCTTATTGTTACGTAAGTCTAATTTTCATAATAAAATAGGTATTCTTTCTTCCTGTTTTATGACTAATAACTATATTTTTATCGGATATCCACTGAAACATCATATATAGCTTTAATTTTTAGGTTAGTTTGGCTTAATTGTTACTCTGTATTTTGTTTTGAAACCTTGTGCTCTATTTTTTGGTGAGCGATCAAAACCTTAATGCTTAATCATTGTTTGCTCGAGCTATTTTTGTGCATTTAACATTTAGTTAAGCAGATGCAAAAGAGACATAAAATTGAGCATGTTTTAAGTCATATCAACTGCACGAGCTGTGATAAATTTTGTAGGCTGCAGAGGCCAGAGTTGAAAGTTGCATGGGCAATGGACCATGAAGGTCATAACATTGAACTGTAATTATACTTGTATAAAGCCATTGTATTCTGAATACGATGATTATTTTGGGTGTGCATTGTTAAACCATCTTCGAGAGACGAAGTTGCACTGTATGCGGGGTGTGTCATTGCCCTATTTTGTAAGGTGTTTCGTTACTTTGCAACATATGTCGAGATTCTACAATGCATGTCATGATTCCACAAGCACTTAGGGACCACCGTGACGTCTTTGCCTGGTTCGCCATAGAGATGCCATGGATACCAACAGATGTAGCATGTCATGGTTTTTTTTTTAATCTATTATACTGATGAGACTCTTAGATTTCTTCCCGCTTCTCTGAAGTCATTGAGCCTGTAGCCATGAAGGAGAAGTTATCAAGTTTTATTGAAGCTTTTCATATTTGGATTCTGATGGTTAATATAGCAGAGATGAGAGTAGGTGCACAAACGATGCAAATTAAAGGTTCTGTTGAATTTTTTGTAATTGTGTCTAGATAATCTGTTGTATTTTCATGTTAGAAATATTTGACAGATTTGAACTGCAATGAATTATCTTATAGTTGTGATATGAATGTATTGGATTACTTTGTCTCCAATTGATGAAATAAATAGTTTATTTATTTGAAGAAAATTCAAGGCGGTGCATTTTTCTATGAGAAAAATAAAGCAATAAATTGGGAAATCTTAGTTCTGAAGTTATAAAAATTCCTGTTTGGTGGACATCTCATCTTGTCCGCTAAATCTACAAAGCTGCTTAAGGGTCCGTTTGGGGCAGCTTGTGCATTTCAGGATAAGCTGTTTATCCTGAAACATTGCCCGTGGGCCGGCCGCAGGGGTCGACCCGCAGCCTGCGTTTAGTGTAACAACCCAAACGCAGTTTCGGATAAGCTGGCGAAACGTGCAAACCAAACGGTGCGGCGGCAATTTGAAAACACCGCCCACACTTATAAGATGACCCAAACAGACCCTAAGTCATATATATATTCACTATTTGAACTGTTGTTTTATTTATTCATTTATTTGCCCAAAAAAGATTTAACTTCATCAAAAATATGTTTCAAATACTATTCTGCAACAGATTTATGAAGAGTAGCTGAACAAATTATCCTTTTCATAATTAATATCTTCATCAAATACTTGGAAAGGCATTGCACAATATTTCCATATCTTATTTTATAGAAGTTCTTTGATTAAGCTTTTTGAGATTATTATTGATGTGTGCTATAAAATTTGCGGCGGTAGAGTAATGGATTATCGTCTTGGCATTGCACGAGGATTCAACACACACTCAGATGAAAATGAATCAACCTATGATGACACCATAAGTTTTTACTTGGAAAACTCGGAAAGCGAAAAAAACATGAGATCTGGCCCAGTTATAAAAATTTACTATAAGTTGATGATTACAGAAGCCTCTTGTCCCACAGACGGAAATTAGTTACTAGATTTTCCAAAGTACAAAGTCAACTGACGGCGTCTAGTTAGCGATGGTTGATAGAGGTCGGCGGTGATCGACGGTAGTCGACGACAATTGATGAAGGTCGATGGTGGTTGACAGAGATCAGCGGTGGTCCACAACAATCGATGACGATTGATGGTGGTCGACAACAATCGATGATGATCGATGGTGGTCGACCGAGGTCAGCTGTTGTTGACGGTGGTCATAAGTGCTAACGATCAGTGGTGGTCGTCGGAGATCGACGATAACAAGGATAATGTTGGACTTGAGCTTCTTCTCAAAGCCTTAAGTTCTCTCTCTAGCCTCCTCCCCTCATGTGAGGGGTGGGGCTCTATTTCTAATGTTCTTGGTGCAATTATTTGGTGTAATTAATGCAGAAATATGAAATAATTTTATCTGATGGTCTAGAGGGATTCTCTTGATTGGATGGCGTTTGATGGACGTTTGAGTGCCTTAACGATGCTGGAATTGTGCAATCTTAGGTTCGTTGGATTCATCTTATCAAGACGCTCGATTCGACTATAAACTCACTGAATTCGACATTTGTTTGATCTTTCAAATGTGTCTGGAAATCTTCCAAAGCTGATTCAATCGCTTAATCTGGACTTGATTTGACTCGGATTGGACTAACCTTGATATTAATGGGTCATTCTCATCGAGTCGGTCAGTTTGATTATAAGTTTACTAAAATCGGAATTCTCAATAGCTTTTAATCAAGATTTGAATGTTTCTTGCTCAAAAGGTTGCCTCGAGATTCGTGATGGATGATAAAAATTTATTGGTGGCGTATCAGTTACTCCCCTATTTATCTATTTTTTTATTTTTATTTTTAATTTTTTTTGGAAGAGATGAAGAGCTATTTTTTTAATAAAGGATTTTTTTTTTTTAACGAAAAAGCGGTTTTTTGTTTTTTTAATGAAAATTGATTTTTTTTTAATGAAGGGTTGTTTTTTAATGAAATGCGGTTTTTTTTTAATAGTTATAATTAAT